CCCCCCCCCACACACACACACGGATATACACACACATACATGCACCCACGGGTGTAAGTCGTTTGGCGCAGCCCTTGCCCGCATCGAACTTGCCATTGGGACGCATAGGCTTATTTATTGTCCATCCATTGTCCAGCCCACAAATCCCATTCGACGCGGTTAGTGGGCTGGACAACTCGCCCAGGTGATTCAACCTCCTGACCATGCTAGTCGGCCTACCGACTTCACATCCAGCTGATACACGCCCGATCGATAATGCCGCTACAATTAGACGCCGGGTAGTGGACCTACCTGTATTCTGTACTTACCACTTCAGAGTAATTTGCAGCACATATGTATAATGGGTTGATCGTGGTGTTTCGAAACTTTATGCATGCTTTTCATTTATTCATTCTCCATAACATATGTTGTCTTATAATTATTGTAACCTTTCGATTTTAGTACAACGTTGGTACCATTAGAATTATTATGAGATACTCTACTTCTTGTTTCTTTGCTATCCTATGACTGTTCTCACTGTTTTATCATTAAACTTACTGTATTCAAGGGATTACCTTCTGCAATCAACTGTGTCCGTTATTTGGCTATTATCTTTATCAAACTACTATTTGTATTTGTCTACTATATTCATTGGACGACCTTTTGCACTTGAGTGCTGTACATTAGACTAGACTAGACTAGACTAGACTACCTTTTGTGTTCGACTAACTCCTGTATTCGGCTCCTACCTCTATCGGACTACCATATGTATTCGCCCAAACCCTGTATTCGGCCACCATCTTTGTTAAAGTGTACCTTTTATATTTGACTACCTACTGTATCCGGTTATTATATTCATTGGACTGCTTTTTGTATTCGATTGAGTCCTATATTCGGCTACTATCTTTATTGAACGCCATCAGTTTTCGACTAGCTCGATTGTTTTTCAGGCTGCCATCTTTATTTCATCGCAGGCAAGGGCTACCAATATGCTGTTTGCTTGCTGGAAGAATATAGTTTCATGACCAATATGGGATCAGGACACATTCTTCTTTTCAGTTCGCTCACAGGTAATTGTTTTTGTTGATTACCTGTACGTGTAATGTACGTATTTTCTATGTGAAACAAATATATGAAGGTACAATGATTTATGTTATTCTCTATCCACTTTTATCTTACTCTATGTCTATAACTATATGTTCATTGCCTTTTAAGCGAGTGACACAGTGACAATCACCTCGAACTTTTGCCAGAGGGAACTAGGAAAGGTGTGGTGCAGCCATTATTCTTTTTGTATGCCCTGAACGCAGTAGGTTACCGCTTCCTCGGAGAATGGAAGCTACGATGTAATTACTCGTTGAATATACCCTAAGAGAACGTGGAGCGTTATCACTTTTTTCAAAAAATGAAAGACTTAAGGTTGAACTGTGGGCATAACCCGTCTTTGGGGTGATACATATATAAATCTTGGCATCATCATTGCTACTTCCGCACGTTCATTTTTTTGTGTTTTGCTTTCACTACGCTTTCAACACAATACTACACTTATGGCCCTCATCGGGCCCTTTATAGTAACGCCCCTCACCACCTTTATAGTATTTCAAATATCAACGGCCCTCATCAACCCCTTCAAATATATACCTTCAAGTATTATACAGGGTGTCCCAAAATTATTTGCGCCGATTTATAGCAATATATTTGAAACTTCTCAACTGCGGAAGACGATGGAATTTCTATGCACACTAGCTAACACTATGTGCTACAACACGCTGAAGTCACCTTTAAAAATATCCCCCATGAGCGCGGTTAGAAGTCAAAGATTGCTCTTGGCTTGATCGCATGTGGCACGCAGGTTGCCTCCTCCATTTCTTCCCAGCCATTCTTCATCTTTGCATTCTAGACTCCAAACTGGGATTGCACACTCGACAGGTCCTCTTTTAACCAGAGACCAGTCGTGGGGTCAAGTGAGTCAAGTTCTGGAAAATAGGATGACCATCCCTCTTCACCAATGAAGTCGGGCAGCTGTCGTCGGCACCACTCGCGGGCAAGCTTGGCTCTGTGGGCTGGAGAAGAGTCCCGCTGGAAGGACTACGAGATGTTTCAGAAAATGTGGTCGGATCAGTGTTTCATTTACTTCCATTAGTACGCCGTTTGAGTACTGGTCTTGGTCAATTTTCATGCCTGCACCGAAGAAACCACGAGCGTCTTACCCTTGCCAGTGATTTCCTCGGAAAACATCATTTTACTATTCTGATAGCAACCATTTTGTGAGATATTACTTTCTAGGCGTTTCTTTCCAGAACGCGAACGTTTTGGTTGTTGAGGAATGGCTCTATCTCGAAAAATTTCTTGACCAGAGAAAACGACGAAGGGCTGCGTGTCACCACTTTCGACTTTCTGCATTTTTGGCCCTGCAGTATCTGTTGAGATCGGAATTGAAGCGAAATTTCTTCATACGTTAGGAACGGCAGTGGAGCTCCTGCATGACATTCTTCCATCGCGATAACTCCTGTAAGCCGTGCCCGTTGACTTCCATTTGATGGGTCATCCAGAATCCCGACCGATTGGCAGACGGACCACTTTAACAGTCTTATCTTCAGAAACATTCTACCTTTGTACCTTCCTGGTTTGTCTCTGATTCAAGCTTTTTTCTGTATCGCTCAATTGCCTCCTATCCGGTTATTACAAAAATCCCAAGGAATTTCATAACGCCCTTCCACCTCTCGCGTGTCAGTGATTGCAATTGGCATTGAGTGAGCCTCCTCCATCTGAAAAATATTGAGTGTTCCACATTAGAAGCCATGCATATTGCAAGGAAACCTTCTTATGCAACTAATTAATAGCAGGTTATGTGAATTTGATATATTATTCGTACCATAAAAATTCCTGAATTCTGGCGCCAATAGTTTTGGGACACCCTGCATATTAAACAATATGCCGACCCAAACAGCCGGTGAACTAACTTTCAGCGGTGTTGCGTCACAGCCCGGACCATCAACATTCAAGGGACAGAAGGAGGTAAGTAAAATTGGAAAAAGGGAGGCGTTACCTTATAAGATTCTAGGCTCACAGATAACAATATTTATTCCCAATGGTTCGAAAGAACCAGCATTACCATGTCTACCAGGACGCGGGCTGCAAGAAAAGGAGCGCTTGGAAAACAATAAAGGTTCCACACAGTTTTCTCAACTTCTCTTTTGCGAAGGACAATCTGCAGGCAAAGGACAGGATATGAGTTTCTCATGACAATTTACATTTATAACTTAGTCCACAAGGATCTTGTTTTTTGAAAGCTTCAAGAGGTGAGAGGCGACCCACTCTACACAGGAAATGATGAGGAAGGTTACTCGGAATACGATGATAAGTCTCACTTTCAAACTTAGAAAACTGAACTGCACTATAGGGTCCTGTTGCAGACGACGTTATGAAATGGTTGTATGGATAGGGATTTGGAATGAAAAGGCAGGCTAATTCCAGGTTATTTGCAATACACCTACTACTGAAGTACATTCAACGTGCCCAGCATCTCTCAAAGCCATTAGTTCGTTGAAGGACTAGAGAGTGACCCTCGAAAACATTCTTGAAGAACTGGCGCTCCCCCCGATGAAAGGACGTTTGTGCATGAGCAGGACCAGGAACTATGTACATGTTTACTATTCGAAAACAATCATTGAGCTGAGGCGCCTTTGGTAATTCTGAGCATATATTGAGAAAAACTAAAATGTTTCATTGCAGATGGCCTGTACGAACGGCTTGTATGCCACCGTAACCAGTGGCGTACACACGAAGCAATCGAAAGAGCTCATGCAGCTCTATTGTGTCCATGGCGTGTGCAACGGCGGTGTCGAGTCCCCCGTCTGTATCCAGTGACGGCCAGAAAAACCGAGGATACCTAATTACGTATTTTCGGGCACTTCAAAAACCTGCTCGAAACCCATCGCCCGAGGCCAAAGCAACCACTGCAGATTGTCCTTCACTTCGAAAAGGCGTCCATAGCAGTTGCCTCACGCCTGTTTTCCAAATCGAAGGTCGAAGGTTGCGCGTTTCATTTGTCGCAAGCTTGGAACAGATAGCAGCTTTGCTTTGCACGTAACTCAGAAAAAATCTTAACGTAATTTTTATTTTAGGCGAAGGGGCACCGGCAATTTGAGGAAGTTCATTGAGGGCATGGTGGAGTACCAGTTGTGGCGGATTGGTGGGACACCATCGAAGGAGCGATTTTTCCCAAAACGTCTCTACCCAGAGGTAAGTTCCTTACCTGAAATGCAAAGTGGCATACTGTAACTGAATTATTTTTTCAGGTGAGGGCGCTAGGAGGCGACCAGTACCTGAAGACCACGACGCATATGAAAAGTGTAAGGAGTTTCCGGAGTACTTGCATTCGACGTGGTTTGATGGCCCATACAAGGACATGTGGGAATTGGTCGACCTGAGAATCACAAGTATAGCTGAGACCTACCACAAGTAAGCTGATGAGCAACTGATGTAACCTTCAAATTAACAAGCAAGAATAGTGAAGTCCCGCCCACGAGGGGCGGGGCGTGCGTTGAGGTGAAAGCTACCTTTCAAAAATGAGTGTAACTTCGTTCGGAAACGTTATAGAATGCGGCAAAAAGGTGTTGAGGAGTACAAGAACAAATGTGGTCAAATTCCAGAAGAGCGCGGGGTTGGGACTAAAATGGGCAGGGCTGAGATGAATTTTTCAACTCTATTTAGAAAGGTTCTGGGATGCGGCAAAAAGGTGTTATGGTGTATAGGAACAAATGTGGTCAAATCCCAGGAGTGGGCGGGGTTGGGACTAAAATGGACAGGGCTTAGATGAAATTTTTAATTCTATTTAGAAAGGTTCTGGGATGCGGCAAAAAGGTGTTATGGTGTATAAGAACAAATGTGGTCAAATCCCAGAAGTGGGCGGGGTTGGGACTAAAATGGGCAGGGCTTAGATGAATTTTTCAACTCGATTTAGAAAGGTTCTGGGATGCGGCAAAAAGGTGTTATGGTGTATAGGAACAAATGTGGTCAAATCCCAGGAGTGGGCGGGGTTGGGACTAAAATGGACAGGGCTTAGATGAAATTTTTAATTCTATTTAGAAAGGTTCTGGGATGCGGCAAAAAGGTGTTATGGTGTATAGGAACAAATGTGGTCAAATCCCAGGAGTGGGCGGGGTTGGGACTAAAATGGACAGGGCTTAGATGAAATTTTTAATTCTATTTAGAAAGGTTCTGGGATGCGGCAAAAAGGTGTTATGGTGTATAGGAACAAATGTGGTCAAATCCCAGGAGTGGGCGGGGTTGGGACTAAAATGGACAGGGCTTAGATGAAATTTTTAATTCTATTTAGAAAGGTTCTGGGATGCGGCAAAAAGGTGTTATGGTGTATAAGAACAAATGTGGTCAAATCCCAGAAGTGGGCGGGGTTGGGACTAAAATGGGCAGGGCTTAGATGAATTTTTCAACTCGATTTAGAAAGGTTCTGGGATGCGGCAAAAAGGTGTTATGGTGTATAGGAACAAATGTGGTCAAATCCCAGGAGTGGGCGGGGTTGGGACTAAAATGGACAGGGCTTAGATGAAATTTTTAATTCTATTTAGAAAGGTTCTGGGATGCGGCAAAAACGTGTCAAGGTGTGTAAGAACAAATGTGGTCTAATTCCAGAAGTGGGCGGGGTTGGGACTAAAATGAGCGTGGTTTTGATCAACAATTTACAAACCTATTTAGAAACGTTGTGGGATGCGGGAAAAAAGTGGTAAGATGTAGTCGAACAAATGTGGTCAGATTCCACAAAAAGGCGGGATTGGCACCGAATTGGGCGGGGCCTACATCGAATTATTAAGTCTCTTCAGATGCGCTTTAGAACGCGAGAAAAAGGTGTCTGGAGGTAGTGAAAGTAATGTTGTTGGAAGTCTGAAGTGGGCGGGGTTTGCGAAGAGGGGGGTGGGGCCGAGATCAAAAATTTGTACATCTGTCCTTCACCCTAAGCCTGAACACATAGGTGTACAACTAGGGGACACCGCTAAACTCTTTCAAAAATTAGGCTAGCAATTTGCTAAAAGTTAGTATCCATTGTTCCACATACAGTGGCCCCTTCTACACAAGAGCAAATGCACTACATTAACTTTAGACCTCATAAAATAACTTCTACAATAACCCCGGCCACACAGGTGCTTACATTGTGTAAATCCCTACAACTACCCAAGGGTACTGTTCTCTCGAAGTTAGGGTTCATGACCACACACAGCCCCATTTCGCAAGAGTACTCTTCATGACCACACACAGCCCAAACCAAAATATTTGATAATCCAGACCAGAAAACGTTAAAGTTAATGCTTGACGAATTCCCTTCACCCTTGCTGAAGAATATTGTGTATACAGAAGTGTTGCTTCGATAAATTACATGTTCCAAAATCAAGTGCTATGTATACCATGCTAATACTCCAGCCGAGCTGGACAAGCTTTTCTATTACACATCAAGCACCCTTCCTGAACTGCTCGCCGGTGAGTCTGAATTTTCGTGATCTAGCGAAAAAAATTCCATGCTTCCCATGAGACAAAAAAAGATGGCCGCTACAGAAGTGTCAGGGAAGAGGCTCAGATGATAAAGGTCTATAACGAAAATCTGAAGCTCATGTGGTTCCGTCCCTTATGGCTAGAGCTCCCAGCGCGCGCAATAGCGTGCGTAGCCGCCTGGTATTGTAAATGCAGTCGAGATATGTATCAGGTAAACTATTTTATAATGTGCATGGTAATAAAGTTAATGATAGAAATAAGTATTATGGTGAACAAATGTTTTTCAAAAAAGAAACAGCAAAAAAACTTACCACATAATCAGTCCGTCAATCATACGTACTGCAAATTACTTTGAAGTAGAAAGTACTTCAGGCTTAAAGACGACCACGATGGGATGAAGAAAGTTTCAAAAGCAAGAAATAAATGATAAAAATAGCCAAAGCCAATAGGCGATGGAAATAGACAGAATACAGGTAAGTCCGCAGTCCGGCGTCTAGTATTAGGTTGTTCGGAAAGAAACGCGCGTTTGAGCTTAATAAATTTTTTATTATAACAACGAAACTAAACAAGATCAATTAAAAAGATAATATCCATTGCTATCAATAACTTGTTGCCAACGTTTACGTCAAGAATGGATTCCTCTTCTAAAGAACTCGGCCGGCTGCGACTTTAAGTAGTTGGACACCCAGAGTTGGAGTTCTTCACGGTTTTGAATTTTTTCTCGGTCAGAGAGTGCTGCATCGACCGCAACAGAGGGTAGTAGGATGGTGCCAGGTCTGGGCTGTAAGGCGGACGAGGCAAGACTTCCCAGCCCCTATTCCTCAATTTCTTTGAAAATGATTCTCGCGATCCGTACCCGCGACCCGATCCGCGACGCGACGGTGCAATACCCACTTTCCGCACCTGCTCGTCTTGCCGATTGCCAGCACATTTTCATTGGTGGTAGAGTTTGAGCAGCCAAAATGTGTTGCCAGTTCTCGAGAGGTTTGCCGTGGATCCAATTTAATGACGGACATTAACACTTGGTTATCGACGACTTGAGACCGACTTCCATGTTTTTCGTCCTCTAACCTTTCATCTCCGTTTTTTAAACGCTGGAACCATCGTCGACACTGACTTTCTAACTGGGTTTCTTCGCAAAATACCTCAGATGATGAGTTTCGTACCTGCTGCTGCTGCTTGCTTGAAGTCGTACCCACACTCGCAAAAGGAATTTTTGGTCACGCATATCCTGAACTTTTTTTCTAGACAAAAAACAAAGTAGACGTAAACAAAAATATATCGAAAGATGCGCAATAATAATCTCGTTCTAATAGACAAAACTGTTCTGAAAAATCATGTCGTGAGAGAAATAAATGGGCAAATTCAACGCGCATTTCTATCCGAACAACCTAATAGTAGTGGCGTCATCGACCGTGAGTATATCAGGTGGATGGGTAGTGGGTAGGTCGACTAGCATGGTCAGGGGGTTGAATCACCTGGACGAGTTATCCAGTTCACAAATTGCTACGAATACAAGCACAAAAGGCGGCGCTAAAGAGACAATTATAAGCCTATGCTCCCCAACGGCAAGTTTGATGCGAGGGGCCGAGCCAACGACCGCCTACTTACACCCACATACACACGCACACACATATACACACACTACGCACATGTATACAAATACACACACATACACACATAACATTACTATATATAACCAACAAGTTTGGTGTGTTTGTTTGTTTGTTTGTTTGGTTGTTTGTTTGTTTGTTTGTACGTATGTATGCATGTATGCATGTATGTATGTATGTATGTATGTATGTAT